GCTGCCGGGTACCTTGCCGAGTTTGTGGCAGTTCAAGCAATGCAGGAGGGGTGGTGGTGTCACTAGCTGAGGGGTCCTCAAAGCCAGGCCCCTTGGTGCTCACCTCGATTCATTTCTCCCCTCGTGGCATCTCTTTTTAGAGGCTGGGGCTTGAGGTTGGGCAGCCAAACTGCAGGCGCTGGCCGGGCCTTCAGCACCTCGAACAGCGGAGCCTCCCGAAGGCACGCCCTTTAACAGGGAGCCGCTCTTGGTGCCAGGCTGGGCTGTGGTGGGGTCGGAGCCCCCGCCCTCACTAACTCCTCCGCCACCTTCAGCGCACGGTGGGCAAGCGTCCTCCCCTCCAAGAGCCCCTTTCCCCACCTGCACTGCACCCCGTGGGGCATGGGCACCGGCATTCTTGGTTTCCAAGGGCCTCCCCACGGAATGAGCCATTGCAGGTGTGATTTCACTCGGTTCAGCGGAGCTCAGGGCTGACCCGGATCTTGGTGCCTTGGAGAGAGTCAAGTCAGTGCTTTTCCAGGTAAGACTGGAAGAGACGGATGCGAAATATGGTCACGTTCTGATATTTGGGTTAAAAAGGGAAGAGAACGCACATCGGAGAGCCTGCTACGTGCCAAGGACCCTGGGAGGCTGGGGAGGTTTCCGGGGGGTTTGAAACACAGTCCTTGCCACCATCCCTCTGAGGGGGGCCCTGGGAAAATCCCTCCCACCCCCCAGGAGGGACCTGCCTCGTCTCTGCCTGCATCGAACCCCCAGGTTAGTCGGGGAAACACCACAACACAAAGTGGCAAGCACAGGGGGCGAGGGATGTGCAGTGTGTGGGGGACACAGAGAGGGGGCGTTTCAAAGGGCAGTGGGGCCTGGACTGCAGAGGCAGCCGGGATATCGCCCTGCGCAGAGGCCAGGGCGTGCGGAGCCACAGACGGACGCGCGGGGCAGGGTGCAGGCAGGGAAACGGGCAGACACGGCCTCCTGGGTGGAGTCTGGCCTCAGACCTTGGCTTGGCCCACAGGCAGTTTAAATTTTTTGAAATCTTAGTTGTGATCATTTTCATCTGAGACTTTATTGTGAAAGTCGTTCAGTTTGTCTGGGAGGCGAGAGCTCGCAGTCCCCGCAAACCTCTGCCCAGAGCTGACGACCGGCCGCTCCGGCCTCTGCCCGCTCACGGCATCGCCTGGCGGGCGGCATTTTGATGTAGGATTCCTCAGTCTGCGGTGCAAGGGCTGTTTTGTTTTGTTTTGTTTTGTTTTGCTTTGCTTTGTGTTTTGGCTGGTGACTGGCTCCAGAGTGCCAGGCCTGTGAGGAGGGAGTGGGGGGAGTGCTGGTGGGCAGTGGGGGCTCTCGGGGCTGCTGAGGACAGAACACCCAGCCCCCCAGCAGGTGGCTCTGAGCCCCCAGCCCTGCTGGGAGGCTGGAGGGGGAGGAGGGCCCGGTCCTTAGGGACTTGGCCTCTGGATCCAGGGGACAAGGAGCCTGACTTTAACTCAAGGAAGGACAGGCATCATGGCCTTTCTTTACTTTTTAAAATTTAATTTAATTTTTAGAGAGAGTGGGAGGGAGGGGGGGGGAGAGAGAGCAACATCGATGTGAGAGACACATCAATTCGTTGCCTCCCGCACATGCCCAGCCTGGGGCCAGAGATGAACCTGCAACCCAGGTACATGCCCTTGCCCGGGAATCGAACCTGTGACCCTTCAGTGGGGGCGGGAGACGCTCTAACCACTGAGCAACTGACCAGGGTTGATTATTTTATTTCACTTATTGTTGACCTTTTCTCTGTTCCAAGGAGCTCTCCAGGGTTATGCCTGTTAGCAACGTGAGAACAACTACAATCACTTTAAAACACTCATTTAGATAAATAAGCAAACCTTCCTTTGCACCAAATATTTGCTTTTAGATTTTTTAAAAAAATCTCAAACTCGTATACCTTGGCCGCAAGCGCTTCCAGAGAACAACACAACTGTCCCGGTGACGGGGCCAGAACAAATGTTCTTCCTGAGGCCGAGCGCTCCCAGCACGTTTGCCAAATGTCTCCCACCCTTAGAGTGACATGAGCAGGGCACCAAGCAACACCAAAGAATATTAAAAACAGAAAGAAAGCCAGAGGGGACACGCCGCGTCGTCGGCACGGCAAAGGCCTTCCCGCCTGCCCCCTCAGCCTCTGTTCCAGGGAAACCTCCCCGACTCAGAGCTGCTTTGGGGGGGGGGGGGGGGTGAGCAGCCTATCCCTGGAGGCGTGCAGGCAGGGCCAGAGTCAGCAGGGATGGCCACGTCCAGGGGTTGGCTGTCAGGGCTCTGACTGACCTGAGGGATGACAAGAAGGTCCGCCCGCGTGCCCCTCAGCGCAGGAAAAAACACGGAACGAATGTCTTTAACGTGAAGTCTGCGGTCAGGAGGAGATTTACCCACCCCAGCGCCACGCCGGCTGGGCCCCTACCCTGAGGCGGCTGCCTGTCTGCTGAGCCTGTTTCCTCATCTGTGCCATGGCGGGGCTGCCTCCCAGGCGTGGGTGTCCCCGCAGGTCACTGTCGGTTTCTCCTGTGGCCTCCAGGGTGCCTCCTTGCCAGGGTCCAACCCCAGCAGGTCCAGGGGTCCCCAATAGGTGTGGACGGAGTCGGCAAAGAAGGAATGACACGGAGACAGCGTTCAGTTGATCAGCAGCCTTGCCAGGATCTCTAGCCACAATCTCCAGCCAAGTTCTCCAGCCAAGTTCTGTGTCCATGTTCTCTTGCTAGGTTCTCCAGCCACGTTCTCCAGGTTCTCCAGCCAGGTTCTGTAGCCATGTTCCCTCGCTAGGTTCTCCAGCCAGGTTCAGTCACCAGGTTCTAGTCAGGTTCTCTTGCCATGTGCTATCCAGGTTCTGTAGTCAGGTTCTGTCTCTAGGATCTTCAGCCAGGTTCTCTCGCTAGGTTCTCTCACTAGGTTCTGTCTCTAGGTTCTGTCTCTAAGTTCTGTCTGTGGGTTCTGTGTCTAGGTTCTGTGTCTAGGTTCTGTCTTCTAAGTTCTGTCTCTAGGATCTTCATCTAAGTTCTGTGTCCTGTTGTCTTGTTACATCTGTATTTATACCAGTTATTCCAATCCTATCAATCTCTATTCCAAAGGTTAGGGCGTTTCTTATCTCCATTCCAGGGAGTAAAGATTATGTAGCTTAAGCATGATTGTTCATAGTTAAAGTGATTAATTACCCGCCTGGCACTTAGTTAAGAGGTTTTATTCCCTCCCTAACTTCAGGGGAAAATCCCTACCTGGGGAAACAACCTTTCTCGGAGAGGTGACCTTGGTTAAAACACATAGTGCCAAGAAGGTGACCAAACATATTAAGAACAGTATGCATATACGCCAGGTCCCTTGAAACAGCAAGGATGGACCGGCTCCCATCCACCCGGGGAGCAGCCTCCCTGGGCGGAGCATAGCTCCCCTGGGCCCCCGGCTAAGGAGAGCCACTTGGCGGGGGGCAGGCGGGGGTGTTGGAGCTGGAGGAGACCCCCGCGGCCTGGGAGAGGGTGCTGCAGGCTTCCCGCCAGAGGGCAGGTGCGAGCTGGGCCTTGAGGGTTGGGGTCACGGCAGGTACAGGACCTGGTAGGCCTTTAGCCACAGTGCGGAGAGGGAGCGGGTCTGGCCTGTTGGAAAGACGCCAGGAAGGCATTGCAGGGAGCGAGCTCCTGGGGCTCAGGGGAGACAGGCTGGGCCTGGGTCAGTCAGCTCCCCGCCCGCCCTGCCCTGTACCCTGGCCCAGAGCTGCTCAGAGTCAGCCGGGCCCTCGCTGTCGCTGGGCCAGGTAAGGACTGGGCCCGGGTGCCACGGTCCTCACCCTCCCAAGCTCCCCAACACACGCGGGGCACAGGGCAGCTCAGTCAAGTGGGGGGTGGGTGGGGAGAGGTGGTTGCGGCTGGGATGGGTGGTGGGTAAATGGTGGGCAGGGGAGCGATTGGTGGGACTGAGGGTGGGTGAAAGGAAAGCAGAGATGGAGAGTGGGTGGGGGGTGGCCTGGTGCAGGGTGGGTGAATGTGCGGCAGGAGGGTGTGAGGGCTGCTGGTGGGTGGGATGTCAGTGGGGATGTGGGTGAGTTGGGGGCAGGAGGATGGGGTTCAGAGACTTGGTGGGTTAGCGGGTGTGTCAGCAGGGTGGGAGTAGGCGAGTTGGAGGGTGGATGGGCTGGTGAACGTGTGGTTGTTTGGGGCTGTGGGTAGTCAAGATTCTCCAGAGAAACAGAATCAACAGGGAATATGTTGAATACATTATATGTATATGTGTATGTATATGCATAAATACACACACACACACACACACTGTATTCAGTATACTACATCTTACTGGTTCTTTTACACTGGAGAACCCTTACTAATACTACATATAATAATAAAAATTTATTTCTCAGTCATGTAGATTGGAGGGTTAACATGATTGGCTCTGCTTTAGTTGCTGACTAGGGTGGCTGTGGTCCTCATGGCTTATTCTAGGACCCAACTGAGAGGCAACAGCTATTCAGTACATTGTTGTTGTTTTTTTGTTTTGTGTGTGTGTGTGTGTGTGTTTTGGCAATGGTAGAAATGCATTCTAATCACACATATTGCAAGCCTCATCTTGTGTCTGATCTGTGACGTGTGGTGTGTTGGTGGGCAGAGGTGCTGAGTGGGTTTCAGGGCTATGGGTGAGTGTGGGTGGGAGGAGTGTGTGAGTCGGATGGTGGATACATTGGTGGCTGTGGTATTGGCAGGTGTATGTCTATGTGTTGGTGGACTGGTGGGTGGATGGTGGGTAGGGGGCGTGGGGTGGCGTCGAGAGTTGGGTATGCGGGTGGGTGGAGGGTGAGCTGGTGAGTGGGACAGTGGGTGGGAGCTGCCTGTGGGCGGACAGCCGGGTCGGGGAGTGTTGGAGGGGAGGTGGGAGGCCAGTGGGTATGTGGGTGGGTGGGTGGTGAGCTGGTGGGCAGTGGGCAGGAGGGGCGCAGGGGGAGGAAGCACTGTTAGCCTGATCCCCCTCCCCCCATCTCTCAGCAGGACACCAGCCACACCTGGGCGATTCCTGGCCGCGGAGCTCTGCACACGAGGCTGCGGAGCTGAGCCGCCAGTGCTGGGTCCTGGGGCACTGGGTGTGACCAAGACCAGCTGGCCCCAGACCCAGCCTCCGTCAGCACCAGCCCCGCCACCAGGCCGCGCGTCTGGCGCCACCGAAACCTGGCCTGTGCGCTCTGAACCCAGCAGCCTGCACGGGAGACACCAGCCGGCCCTGCCCGTCGCTGCCCGGGTCTCAGGCCAGAGCAGAGGGGCCTGCGGGCCTGTGGAGTACACAGGGCTGCACAGAGCCACTTCGGGACAGCAGCTTCACACTCTTGCCACATGCACAGCCCTGCTGGGTACAGCTGGGAGGCCAGGGAAAACCGGACTTCGGCCATCGGAAGCCAGCTAGGAAGTTCAGGAGGTGCCCAGTGGCACATAACCTTTCGGGGGGCAGGGCCTGGCACTGCAGGGGGCACGCAGCAGGCACACAGCAGGGGCTGAATAAATGCTTGTTGAACCTGTTTTCTTGCTGTGTGTGGAGGCCAGTTGCTCTCCGGGCTGCCCCTTCACGGCTCCATCCTCTCAGCTCCCCGAGGAGCCTGAGGCGGGCAGCCTGAGTGTGCTGCGGCCAGGGTCCGACACGGGGTGGGAGGGAGGGAGCCTAGAGCCTCGCTGGGTCTGGGGGTCGGGTCAGGCTGCAGGCGGCCTTGGATTCCAGAGGGTGGGTAGGTGGGGGCGTCAGGCAGATGGGAAATGTGGGACGGGCCAGGGAAAGGGCCTCACACCCAGATCCTCAGCATCTCTGACCCCCATGGGGACTCTACCTTGTGTTTAGAGCCACCTTTACATCAATCCCAGGGCTTAGATGCCTGGGGAGACATGTTTACCATAAAGACGGGAGACCGTAGGGTCACGGAGATGAAGACACTAGGCCCAGGATCACAGAGCTAGCAAATGTCAGAGTTGGGGCTTGAACCAGGACTCCTGACTCCAAGAGACCTCGTCCCTTCCCTGAGGATTTCTAGAACTTTCTACCAAGCAGACAATGCTCTTCTTCACTTGTCCATAAACTCATCACCCATTTAATCATTCATCCATCCATTTACCCATCATCCATCCATCACCCATCCATCACCCATCCATCCATCCATCATTTATCCATCCATCACCCATCCATCATCCATCCATCTATCCATTATTTATCTATCCATCATCCATCATCCATCCATCCATCACCCATCCATCTATCCATCATTTATCCATCATCCGTCATCCATTCATCCATCATTTATCCGTCCATCATCCATCATCCATCCATTATCCATCACCCCCCATCCATCCATCCATCATCCATCCATCCATCATTTATCCATCCATCATCCATCATCCATTCATCACTCATTATCCATCCATCATTCATTCATCATCCATTATCCATTGTCCATCATCCATCCATTTACCCATCACCCATTCACCATCCATCCATCATCCATCTATCAGTTGTCATAGTTCCCTGCATCAGACATCCATACATCATTCTTTCATGCATCACCCATCCTCATTATTCAACCACCCATCCATATATTCTCTGTCCAGTGATATAATCCATTGTTCCCCTGTTAGGGGCCAAGTACTGTGGTAGGCACTTGAGGTAGGATAGTGAACCACCCAGAGAGGGTGTCTGTCTTCGCAGAGCTCACAGATGGGCAGGACAGATAACTAACAGATGATTATAGCTCAGTGTGTGAAGTGCTGTGGTGCCCAGCTCTAGGCCAGGCAGCGTGGGTTCAGACTCCAGCCCCTTCACTTGAGACCTTGGGCAACTTGCCTGACTTCTCTTGTGCCTCATCCCCGTGGGCACATAGCTGACCCTTACAACTACCTCTTCAAGCTGTCCCGGGGGTTAAATGAGCTGATGCCGTGAAGCAGTTAGGACAGAGCTGGCACAGTGCAAGTGCGTTGTCGGTGTCTGCTCCCACCGCCATGGCGGGGGCGGGGGGGGCGGGGGAGCCCAGGGTAGCACCTGCTGGGCTGGGGGTAGTGGTGAGAGGAGGCTCCTCTGGGACAATGACACTTAAGCTAAAGCATAAAGTTGTCAGGTGTCAAGTAGACACCAGTGTAGGGGGCAGACCGCCGGGAACATTGTAGGAACTAAATGGCAGGTGTGGCGAGAAAGGAGGGCAGCGAGGTGGTGAGGACGCAGGTGGTGGAGACGGATGGGGCCAGGCCAGCGGGGCCGAAGCCCCTTGGGAAGTTTAGACTCTCCTGGTCGTCGGGAAGCACCCAACTGCGCTTCTGGGAAGACCGTCGAGGCCGTGGACAGAGAACAGAAGGGGAGCCCAGGCGTCCTCCTCCCCTGACCACACTTGAGGGGACAGGACAGAGGGCAGGTTCAGGAACTAGTGAGGAGGGGCAAGCAACAGGTTTGGGGGGGCCTGAGGAAGGAAAAGTCTCGGGTGCCTGGGGCTCCCGGCCGAGGTTCTGCTCATTCATTCATTCATTCATTCCTGCATTGATTAATCGAGTGAGTGCCTCATTAACCCATCTTTCATTTGCTCAGCATATTGAACCTACTATGTGGGGCAAGAGATGGGTCTGGAGAGAGACGAGGCCCAGTTACAAAGGCCTTGACTGTCAAGAGAGGCATCCGGGCTTTGGCCTCTGGGCAAAAGGAACCCAGTGGCTGCAGATTCGGGGCTGGGCGGCCGTCCCCCCGCCCCCCCCAGGAACTGGCCCGCCCCTGGCATCCGGAGCTCTGTGCTCCCTGAGGTCCTTCTGAACATGGCAAGTGGACCTCAGAGGTCCAGGACATGCTCTTAGGTGGCACATGGGTAAAATTTTAATCTATTTTAATAGTTGTGTTTATGTAAATGTGTCTTAGGAAAATGTGTGTAACGGGCACACCCGTGCCTGAGTTCACAGATATTATTGCTTAGGATGAAACCAAAATAGGCATTTGAGTAAAAAGAAAGAGTCGGCTTCAAGAAAAATCTCATTAAATAAATAATTGTGCAAGTGTACGTGACTCTGACATGCGGACGGCTCCCCCAAGGGCCACTGCACCGCCCTCGGGCTTCAAGTCCTTTTGTCGTTGCTGGGCACCTGCGGGCAGGGTGCGAGAACCGGTCCTACAGAGCCTGCAGCAAGGAGGCCACTGGTGAGATGGAAGGAAGCGCTTCCAGGCAGGCTGGCGAGAGGCCCCAGTGGGCCCCCACGGAGGGTGACTGGGGGCTCCTCATGCAGGGAGCATGTGCCACTCCCGGACCTGGGAGGAGGGAGCAGCAGCTGGTTTGAAGGGGGGGACGCCTGGGGAGCACGTAGAGCCTGCCTGGGGAAGCGAAGGCCCCTCCTCCAGCCCCTGCAGCTCCCCCGCTCAGTCCCGTGCCGTGGACACGTTCTGGCCCCTAAGTGGCTGAACGGTGCTGGCTTTGTGTGTGCGCGCCTTTCATCACACAACCCCGGTGCGTTGGCCTGATCCACAGCCCATAGCGGTTCTCATGTTCTGCTCTGGGGACTTGCACCCAGTGTCCCTGTGGTCACATGCCCTGGGCTTGAGCGCACATGCCAGCCTGGACACATCTGAGCGCAGGATGCCGCTCTGCATGTACACGTGTGCTAACGTGTGTCCTCGGCACTCCTCACACTGTGTGCCCGTTGGACCCATACGCTGGGGTCACGTGTGTCTGCGCTGACCCGGTGCCTGAAATGGGGCTCTGCCCTCTCATTTGCCACATCACACCGGTGTCCCCGGGCGGAGGGCTGATGAGCAGGCCCAGTCTCAGGCGGCCTCCGGCTGAGGTCCCTCCACGGCTGGGGGCTGTGATGAGCAGTCATCCCGCCACCCCCACGGAAGCCAGCCGCCCGGCCTGCAGTAATGGAAACGTCAACTTGATTCATGGGCATTCGTCAGCGGCAGCCAGGCCCGAGGACAGGCATGCTGGGAGGCCCATCCCCTGGGAAGAGCCGCTGCCGCCGGAGGGCTGACCCCTTGCTTCGGAGGACGCGGGGGTGGAAAGAAGCATCTGGGGCTGCCAAGTTCATTCTGACAACAAAACGTCACTTCAGACTGAGAAGCTGCGGAGGTGAACCAAGGAGAGCCTGCCTTAGGCTGGAGGGGAGGGCAGGCCTCTCAGCGCAAGGGCCATGGCAGCAGGGACAGAGGATGAGGAAGGAGGCGGCAAGGGGTGTGGGCAGAGTCATGCAGAGTCACAGCATGTGCAAAGGCCCTGGGGTTGAGGGCAACGCTGAGAGGCTCTGTGACAGGACAGGCTGCTTGGAGCTTGGGGCACGAGGTCTGCCGCTGAGGGGTCATCTGCAGTCAGGGTGTGGGGACTGTGTGGATCATAACAATCCTCATGTGGGATTTCCTGCGTGGACAGACAGGAAAGCACAGCCGACCTCTGCCCTCCCCCATGCCCGCCCCTGCCACCCTGGCAGTGCCTCCTGGGCCACATTCCATCCTGGACTGACACTGTCCGAGCCTGGCCTTGGGGGAGGCTGGCGGCCAGAGGCCTGGCCAGGACTGGGGGCGGCGGGGCCAGCACCACAGAGGTGGTGGGGGCTGGACTTGCTCCGGGCCGGGCAGCCCCGGGGCCATGGCTCCCTGTCACCAGCGTGCTGGGTGGGGGGCGCCTCTGAATGAGGCCCCCATCCAGCACGATGTGCACCTTCAGTGATGACGCCCAGAGCACCGCCCGGGAAGGGCTGTGTTTGGTGACTTCATTCGTTTTGTTATGATCACAAATATGGCTCCACAGGCTGTCCCCTCCGTAGGGGCTGGGAGCCTGGGAGTGGTGTCATCAAGGCCACACGTGTCTAGCCATGCAGACAGCCCCACGGCTCACGGGGACACGTGGCCCATTGGGCACAGGCCCCACCTGCCTCCTCCAGACCTGACCTGGGCCTGTGGCCTGACTCGATGCCGGGCTTGGGTCCTCTGCATGCCCGGGTGGCTGGGGCCTGACTCCCAGGGGCACAGTCCTACCTACTCTGGGCCCCACAGTGTCACCTCATCCCCTCCTGCTCCCCCATTCATCACCTGCTGCTGGGTTCCAACCCCAGGAGGTCCAGGGGTCCCCAAAGGTGTGGACGGAGTCGGCGAAGAAGGAATGACACGGAGGCAGCGTTCAGGTGATCATCATAGCCGGGTTCTCTTGTCAGGGTCTCCAGCCAGGTTCTGTAGCCAGTTCTCCAGCCAAGTTCTGTCTAGGATCTCCAGCTAGGTTCTCCAGCCAGGTTCGGTTGCCAGGTTCTGTAGCCGGGTTCTTCAGCCAGGTTCTGTCTAGGTTCTCCAGCCAAGTTCTGTGTCCATGTTCTCTTGCTAGGTTCTCCAGGTTCTCCAGCCAGGTTCTGTAGCCATGTTCCCTTGCTAGGTTCTCCAGCCAGGTTCTATGTCCAGATTCTCCAGCCAGGTTCAGTCACCAGGTTCTAGTCAGATTCTCTTGCCATGTTCTATCCAGGTTCTGTAGCCAGGTTCTGTCTCTAGGATCTTCAGCCAGGTTCTCTCGCTAGGTTCTGTCTCTAGGTTCTGTTGCCAGTTTCTGTCCAGGATCTTTTGCCATGTTCTGTCTCTAGGTTCTGTCTCTAGGTTCTGTGTCTAAGTTCTGTCTCTAAGTTCTGTCTTCTAAGTTCTGTCTCTTGTTGTCTTGTTACATCTGTATTTATACCAGTTGATTCCAATCCTATCAATCTCTATTCCAAAGGTTAGGGCGTTTCTTATCTCCATTCCAGGGAGTAAAGATTATGTAGCTTAAGCATGATTGTTCATAATTAAAGTGATTAATTACCCGACTGGCACTTAGTTAAGGGGTTTTATTCCCTCCCTAACTTCAGGGGAAAATCCCTACCTGGGGAAACAACCTTTCTCAGAGAGGTGACCTTGGTTAAAACACATAGCGCCAAGAAGGTGAGCAAACATATTAAGAACAGTATGCCATATATGCCAGGTCCCTTGAAACAGCAAGGATGGACCGGCTCCCAACAACCTGCCTCGGTCTCAGGGTGCAGGCTCAGGTGCATGTGGGCTGTGAAGGCAGGGCCAGCGAGGGAAGCAGGCCAGTGTGCGAAGTCGGGGCTGGTGGGGACTGAGTGGACTGGGCTCAGGGATGTGGGACTCGAGCTGCCAGACCCTT